AAGGTCAATAACCCTTTGGGTGTCCAGATCAGACTGGGCCACTTGCTTCTGTGGCTGAGGAAAATATTCCTTTGTGGCCCTTGAAGGCTTCATTCCCACTTTGTACTAAACCATGGTTTGTTTCAGGTTAGCCCAAAGTGGGAACCAGCCCTTGTGATGGTGCTATTTGTGGATATAGACCAAGATTTATGGTCAGAGGGATCCCTGAAAACTTTGGTGTAGATCGACCAGATCCTCTTTGAGGCCATGAGGTTCTCAGTCCCTCTTAGCAGCCGCAGATTCAGGGAACTTTTCTCTCTCTCTGGGATCCCTTCCTTTCCCCCCAAGAGTCTCCCCTGCAGAGGAACAGCAGAAGGAAAGATGGAAGTGTCTCAGTCCCTCTGTTTATTCTGTGACTCCCCCTTTTCTCAGTCTCCCTTGGGATCCTCTGCTGTCTTTTCCAGCTTCTCCTTTTTTCCTGGGGAGGTTCAGGGGCTCCATCCTGGGGGGGGAATGCAGGGAGGGAGGTCGAGGGAGGGGAGAAGGGCGGATAGTGATGGGGGCTTTCTTTCCCTTGAACTCTAGGGAGGAAATGGGGGTGTCAGTGCCTGTGTCAAGGTCCCTGCAGAGAGGGAGGGTCTCTGACTATCTTGACGGAGACCCCTGAACCATCCCCCTGTCTGTCTTTTAGGCCTTCACACGTTGCAGAGGATATTTGGCTGTGAACTCCAGACTGATGGGAGCAAAAGAGGGTTTGCTCAGTATGGCTACGATGGGAGGACCTTCCTCACCTTTGACAAGGAGACCCGCACTTGGGTGGCTCCCAATCCCCAGGCCCAGATCACCCAGAGGAAATGGGATGCTATTCCAGGATGGAATCAGCAATGTAAGTCCTACCTGGAGGAAATCTGCATTGATTGGCTGCAGAAGCACCTGTCCTATGGGAATGAGACGCTGCTGAGGACAGGTGAGCATCTGGATCCAGGTTGGACTTTCCTCCTTGATGGCCGGATTTCTCTGACACCTTCAGCCCCTTTGGGTCCCTTGTCTGGAGCCTGTTTGCCCTGGTGGGAATCCTCCTCCTCCCCTTCCAGCCCCTCTTGCAGGACACGGGAAGCCCTGTTTGGTTCCCATTGCCAGGCAGCCATTCAGTGGACCAGGAAATGCAGCCTCTCCCTGGCAGGAAAAGCCCTTCAGGGTGTCCTGTTCACTGCCCACAATGAGGGAACCATTTGGGGCTATTCAGTGAAACCCCCATTAGCCAAACTGTAGTCAAGAGTGATGGGCTCCCTTAATTTCCCCCCATGAACTCTCCTTCCCCCCACATCCCACAGGGGGCTCCCTCCCAGTCTTGCACCTGATTGGGGCACCTCCCATGGCCACCACTGTGGGGGCTCCTCTTCTGCCCTTCCTGAGACACCATCAGAGCCCCCACTTGGGCAAAGAAGCCCATGGATGAGGGGTTCTCTTTCCAGGGTGGGGGGATCCCCCATAGTTTGTGTAGATCTTTCTCTTAAACCTCAAACAGGTTCCCTCAATTCTGACTTAGCGAGTCTTTCCTCAAAACAGCCCCCTCCCCACCTTCAGGAACATCCCCTCACCCCAAAGGGGGTCACATTATAACCTTTTCCTTTCATTTGTTATTAATTCACCATCTAGACCACCCCTCCCCCTCTTGGCTCTTTGATCTCTCCAGGATCAGCTGGTTGAGATTAGGATCAATGGGGGAATCCTCCCCCCCTCAGATTGCCAACAGCCCCTCCCTGCCGGGGTGCCCCTTCTCTCTCTTCCGTTGGCATCCCCTCCCTCTGCCCCCCCCCCCCCCTTTTGAGAGACAAAATCTTTTTTTCAAATACATCAGTGAGAAATTCCAAAATCCCTGAGCCCCTTTTGGCTTTGATTCTGGCTCTCTTGCTCATAACATTGTGGTTGTGTCCCTTGGAAAGAGGCCTGGAGCAGCCTCAGATTCTGAGGAGAAGAAGAGGAACCAAGAAGTAGGGAGCAACTTCTGTGTTGTTGTGGTTGCTGTTTTGAAAGGGAACTTAAAAGACCATCTCCACTCTCCCTCCCCTGAAGGGAGCAGCCCAAGATCAGTCAGAGTTCAAAGCAGTCAGAGAGGAATTTCCTTGGACCCTCAATTTGGGAAAATCAAGAGTTCTTGTGGTTGAGCATTTCCCAGATTTGGAGCATTTCCTAAAACTTTTGGAGATGCTGCAGGTGTGAAGTTTAAATCCTGAGGTTAAAATTAAGTGCTGGGAGATTTTCCTGCCTCTCTAAGTTTCTCACCCCCCCCTCCTTTCCAAGCTCTGGAGGGCCTGAGAGTTAATTCTGGGGGTGCCGTTTCTGCAGAGCCCCCAGTGGCGACAGTGAGAAGCAAGACAGAGTTGGAGGATGGGATGGAGATGCACATCTGCCGGGTCCACGGCTTCTACCCCAGGGAGATCGATGCCTTCTGGACGAGGGACGGGGAGGTCTGGCTGCAGGACACCCTCCATAAGTCTGTGGCCCCCAACACGGATGGGACCTACCACTACTGGCTCAGCATCCGGATCGACCCCAAAGAGAGGGGCCGCTATCGGTGCCACGTGGAGCACGACGGCCTGCTGGAGCCTCTGGACCTGGCCCTGGAAGGTGAGAGGCTGCAGGGAGGGGAAGGCTGGGCTCTTTGGCAGGCTGGGAGGTGGTGGGAGAGGAATCTGGCCCCAGATGTGTCCAGGTGTGAGCATACCTGAGCTTTCATCCACTGGTTTTTTCCAGTCTTTGTGGTTGGTGCAGCTGCAGGGACCAGAGCACAGAACTGACTTCAGGTGATGGAAAGTACAGAATCCCATCCCAAGAGTTGGCCGATCCTGATGAAATGCCCTCAGATCCTCTCTTAGGCCTTCCCTGTTTCTTGCCCCCAGCACCAGAAACAGATTCCCTTTTGTTCACAATTCCTAAAGTAGAAGAATCAGGAGGAGTCTGGTTGCCCCTTTTCTGAAGGAAAATTCTGACTAAAATGGATGAAGTGCAGCCGACTTCAGGAAATGCAGAGAGTGGCTGGACTGATGCATCAGGAGTCAGAAAAGAGGCTAAGAAGTCTGAGTTTTATTTCCCACCAGAGACTAACAGGGTTTCCTGCTTTAAAGGTCAAAAGGTCACTGTGTCTTGCTTCTCTAAGAAAGAAGTTGCACCTTATTTTATGATCTGATATGTGAATTCCTGAGGCTCAGCATAAAACCCAAGGCAAAAAGCCCTCTTTCAAAGAGTTCTGTATATGCTCAGAAGTGTCCTTAACGTACACCGGACTTCCAAAGTGGCAAAATTCAAATTCAATTTTTTTATTGATGATTGTCACCAAGATACAAGAAATATTCAAATGTAATTATTATGCTGATATCCCAGGCAAAATACAATATTCCTATTATTTTTGTTGTTTATAGCAAGCACCAAATTCACAAGTGGAATGATTGCTATTCAATGGGAATCCAGAATTTTGTGCAAGAGAATTTTAAATTTAAACTTCCCTCCAAGGTCCCCTCCAACTCTGTTATTCCATTATTCTATTTCTGCCATTTGTGGGACCATCTAGAAGCTGAATATCACCCTATTCCATTTTCATGCTGACCTTCTGGAAGCACAAAATACAATTTTATGTTATTCCTGGACTGGCCAAAAAAAATGAAAGTGTGCACTTAAAAAAAAAGGTTAGGTGATATGAACTATATTACTTCAAATAATAAAATGCAAACACTCAAACGGTAGAAAAAATAGCGTACAGATCTGCCCAATTCCCCTCCGAGTCAGGACTTATTGGAGCAGCCTATAAAAAGAACCAAAATGTTTTTGTTTAACAAATTTTGTTTATTTTATTGTGTTGGTGAAGTTTTTGTTTTGTAATCTGCTGGGAGTCACAAGGGGGCAAAGGGCTGCTTTTGAGTCGAAAAGCCAAATAGGAATCCAGCTGCCTTCATGCTGGGCTGGTGGGAGAAGAAGGCAGCGTCAGGAGGACACGTCCTCTAACAACGGTTAGCAAGGCGCCTTCACGTTACCCTGAGAGGGACACAAAAATGAGCTCATGGTGTTTTTAATTTTGGGGAATTTCCAGCTTTCCCTTCTTTAGGTCTCTCTTGGGAAGATTGTTTGGGCTTCTCCTTCAATGATCTGCTCTTTCTCCCAATTCAGAACCAAAATCCAACCTGGGGATCATCATCGGCTGCGTGGTGGCTGCTCTTGTCCTGGTGGGTGTGATTGCTGGGATCCTGGTATTCCTCAGTAAGTATCTTTTTTTGAGGGGGGGTGATGGAAGGACCCCCTTTGGGGAGCTTCTTCTGGGCTTCCTTCTGTCCTGTTTTCGTAGCCCTCTGAGATCTCCGCCTCTCGCTGGGACTCCCGTCTCCATTCAGCTGAGTCTGAGATTCAGGCAGTCCTGTCTTCTTCTGAGTTGGGAAGAGGCTTCCCAGTTCTGTCCCTTTCGAAGAATTTGGTCAAAGAGCAGCAGAGAAGGATTTCCATGAAAATCTTCCTCCCCTCCCAGCTGCTGCTGCTGCTTCCCCCAATTCCCCTCCATCCATCTTGGAGGCAGCAGGTCTCTCTTGGGGCAAATCAGGAGATACATTTGTATTTTGAAGATCTTTCTGTCTTTATAAATGGGACAAAGGGTCTGTGAAGTATCTCCTGCGGTTCTTCCTCTTAACAGAGGGAGAGTTTGGATGATCTCTAGAGGATTCTTTTGAGCTTTCACTGATTTTTGTCCTTGCAGAAAGACGTCAAGATGACTACAATGCAGTTCCAAGTGAGTACATGTAATTTCCAACTTGGAACAGGCCTCAGAGGCACCATCACTTGAGGATTGTGTGTGTATGTGTGTGTTTAAATACAGAAAAAAAAACTCATGAAGCTGCAGAGTTGTGCTATTTCCTCCTAAGTACTAAGCTGGGGAAGGAGGCCCCCTTTTCATAACAGCCAGACTGATATTGGAAGGGAAGATCTAGGACCAGAAACCCTCAAGAGGATCCATCTGGGCGAAAGATTTGCTCTGAGTGAGAAGCTGCCCTGTTTTCCAAGTAGGAGGAACTTGCAGAATTCACTCTCCTTGCACTGGTTTGTTCCTGCAGAGGAGAAGGGAAACTCTCCCTGTTGGATTTCCAGGCCCTTTCAGTCAGGCAGGGAAGGCAGCCCAGAGTCTGCATGGTGGAGCCTTTGGAGGAAAGAGCCCTTCATTCCTGGTGGGAATTAGGAAAACCACCACAATGCCGTGATCCCCAGTGGTTAGAGACTCTTCCGGTGGGATAGCTGAGACCTGGCTGAATCTGGAAGGGGGAGGGGTCCCCTCTCAGAGAAGTGCCCAGGTGGGTTTAGGGTTCGGCACCAGCTGATACCCCAGGATGCAGCGCAGGTGGGATGGCATGGTCACCTGAGAATCTCTTTTGGCTTTCAAGGGGCCTTGTACCCCAAATTTCTGGTTGTTACTCCCTGTTTTGGAACTGGGTTCATGAAATCATTTGGGCTTGTTCCTACTGTACCAGCCTCCCTGCTGAGTGGCCACCTCAGCATAGAAGATGGCATAGAATAAATGGATGGATGAATAGGTAGGTAGGTAGGTAGGTAGATAGATAGATGAAAGAAAGAAAGAAAGAAAGAAAGAAAGAAAGAAAGAAAGAAAGAAAGAAAGAAAGAAAGAAGAAAGAAAAAAAATAGAAAGAAAGAAAGAAAGAAAGAAAGATAGATAGATAGATGATAGATAGATAGATAGATAGATAGATAGATAGATAGATAGATAGATGATAGATAGATAGATAGATAGATAGATAGATAGATAGATAGATAGATAGATAGATAGATAGATAGATGAAAGAATTCTTTATTGGCCAAGTGTGATTGGACACACAAGGAATTTGTCTTTGGTGCATATGCTTTCAGTGTGCATAAGAAAAAATAAAATAAAATAGGCTGGTCTCCTCTGAGAGATTCATGAAGCTGCAGAGGTTTAATGGTGAAGAGAGGATCAGGACAAAGCTATTTCTACTCCTATGGATGGAGTCACTGAAGCAGTAGGCGTGAGCTTAAAGAGTCCAGAAGGTGGTAGAGGACAGGAAGGTCTGGAGGAACGTTGTCCATGGGGTCGCGATGGGTGGGACACAACTTCGCAACTAACAACAACAAATTCCTATTCCTATGTTTATTGCTATTCTATTCTATTCTATTCTATTCTATTCTATTCTATTCTATTCT